CCTGCTTTAAGTATACCAAGTAACGCGATTGGAAGGCGATGTGACGCTTTCATGCAGACAGCCACCAGTGATTGAGAAGTTGTCTCAAATTTTTCGTATTTTTGCAAGGCTCGTGCCAATTTATTGGTGATGTTATCTAATTCTTTGAAAGACAGCACGTGTTCCCGGTTGGCATCATCTGTATGAAATTTCCAATCTCAATGTTTGTACTAATTCTTTTGACACGATATTTTTGCGTTGTTATTAATATAACATAATTGGACAGTTGAATTAGTTTTGCATATATCATTATTACTATCGTAATAAAATTTATCTTCAAGTAGTCGATGGATCAATTGCATTAGATAACTATTATTTTCGGTCATTCACACTCTTTATCAAATTACTTAACATTATTAATCTTAATTTCATTAATCTTGATTTATTTGCATATAAAATATTTATAAATAAGTAGCATTAATTTCATTGCTAGCTAAAATAATACTATTAAAATAGAAAACACATTGTTATAAACTTTATAGGAATCATGATCTCTGGGATTACTTTTTGACGTAAACTTTTGTTTTTTTTATCAAAAAGCAAAAGATCTTACCTTCATAATATATCGCAGTTTGACTTTCATGAATTTTTGCTGCGCAACTGAACAATTCGTGCACTAAATCTTTTTCTTTGTTTTTTCCTATCTGTTGACCCTTTAAGATAGATTGCTGCTGCAAAGTACCCATCTTCAAATGTTCGAAGCAACTATAATATATTGCCCCGATTAGCGAAGAGCTAAAATTTAGTTTCGAATAAAAATTATAAGTATACATTTATAAATGCATATTAATACTATTGAGGAAAGGGAAAGGAAGGGTAAAGCTTGCTTGAAATATCGATAATTTTATAGATGTCAATTTTTTTATCGTGCATTAAATTCTTTATTTTGTACATAGATGTGAAAATTCACATTTATTATTTAAAAAAATCTTTGATAAGAAATTTCTCACGTGTGCAGAGATAAAAAAATACGAATTGCCTAAATTATTTTATTGTGAAAAGGGATTATTTTTGGATTGGAATATTAAATATTAGTTATACTAAATAGTTTTGCCCAAAAATAATATATCATATGTTACAGATTTGCTATTATGTAAGATTGAAATTTTAATTTAGAAAGTAATTTGAAAGTATGCTATATATAACTTTTGCTTCTATATCTTTAATATGATATAAACGATCACAATAAGCATTTTGAAAAGTTAAGCTAATAATTAATAACCTCTCAATTGATATATAAGAGTAATAATAATTTTAAATTGATAAATCTAATTCTGTTTTGAGATTATTGTGCAGTAATCATCGGAATAATATGCAAGAGTAGTAATAATGTTTTTAATCACCACTCTGAGAATCGTAAATGTCACTTATTCAGAATCTATTTATATCATTAAGATTTGCGTTATACGTCTAATCGATTAGCAATTCCATAAGATTATTCGAACTATTAGAATTCTCATAAAAACGATTACGATATGTATCACAAGATAAATGTTAATTCGGTTATTGCAAAAACAGCTTATTTGCATTCTTGAAAAATTTTATATGGCATGCCCGTTTCCGTGAAACTATATCGCGATAACACTGTATAGAGCTGCTGCCAGAACGGAAAACAAGAAGTTGTCAGAATCCTCGCCTTGAATCGACGGAGAGAAAGGAAAAGAAATTCACATTCAGCGGAAGGTTGTTACGCACACGACGAAGTTGCATGTTAATGCCGCGTCTATGAATTACATATTTTACGTTATACATGATATACGAGTATAAGATTAGATAAGATCAGATGTAAAGCGTTTTTATTTATTATGATTCGTTATTATTCTTATATCATTTATAATTAAATATGCAGTTGATATGCAATTGATATGCAAGACGTATCACATTAATATCGTATGCGCGAACCGTTTAATTATAATTATAATACAAGATATCGTTTGAATATTTTGAGATTTAACAGGAATTAACAATCTTGACGATATTATTTACGTAACGCATCCTGTTATAATAACATTAATAAGTTAACAAAACTTGAAATAAAGGCCACTTATAGTTACAGATAGATTATGTTTAATAATGAATAATATATAATGATTAACCAATAACAGAATTGATTATTACGTAGAGTATGATTTGAAATTTTAATACGAACACTAGTTGCTCAAGCGCATTGTTTTGCTTTAATAACATCAAGACTTAAATAATCATGAGTTTGCGTTAATATATCGACATCTTTGGAAGAAATATGTACTAGCTTGAATTCCCAATGTCAAACTTTTATCGGAAACAGAAAAAAAATTATCACTAAAACGCTGCAATTATTATTGTAGCTCATTACGATAGTGTACTGTGCGTGTATTTCGCAAGCTTCGGATGGTTTTCTTAAATGTCAAGAATCCGAGTAAAATGGCAAAAGAGCCACGCGCAGTTTTTAGGGCGCAAAGATATATATTTTAAACCAAAAAATAAATTAAAAAATTAGAGAATTTCTTTAATTGCATGATTTGCGAAAGGCGGACGTTTCGGCCCTTTTTTGTTGGTTATCATGTAAACTTGTTTTAGTGTACACATTTACATCCCGTGAAATATCGATTTATAAATTATTGTATACGTCATAAAATGCAGTTATATTTATTTGGTACAATTTTTGTGTGAAAATAACTAAATGAATATTGTATCTATTTATTTTAAATATTATTATTATTATTATTATTTTTTTGATAAAATTTTATTTGGACATGACTTTATTAAAAATTTTAGCTATGTAGGAATAAATCCGCACAAATCGTGTATTTTTATATGTAATTTAGAAAAATGTCTAAGGCAGAACGCTTTGAGAATGTGAGAAATACAATTATTCCGAATCTTTTTCTCTTCTTTCTCTTTTCATAGAAAAATACCGTTTTTCGAATAAACACTTATACTTGTACCGTTTTTTTACGATATTGTACTGTGTTAAACAGCTATTTTTCGTTCAACAAATTATTAGGATACCGCAACAAATAGCCTTCGATGCAATGTTCATTATCCCGGCACTCACTCACCTTGTCACTTCCTTCTTTTCGCTTTCCTGTTTAATTCCAGCAATGAACTATTCACAGTGAAAAATTTCAACTTTGCGTTGTCACACTGCCAACGATCTTTAAAATACGATGATTTTGAAAGATATACTTTTACTTTATATGTATATATAATCTGCTTTTTATTTCGTCGACCGATCACTAGTATTTCACTTAGATTTCTCCACGAAGGCACACGTCTCTCGTCAAGTTTTCTTATTTTTCTCTTCTTTACTTTTTCTGCTTCTTTCCTTCCTATACGATCCCTTTCTTTCCGGTTATTCCGGTTATTATTCTACTCAGGCTATCTCTCTTCTGACTTTCCTTCGTAAAACTTAGGCGAATTTTTGCGACGCATAAACCGTTCGCCAGGTTGTATTCAACGCGACCGTAGTGTTTGATCTTCGGTAGACTAGTGACCAAGAGAGAATGCCTTCTCCGGTTGATATAACATGTACTCTTATATAGAACCCTCCACGAGGATTCTGAATTGTTCGTTGTCCCCCTTACCGCTGCTACTTCCTCGATTCTTCGCGTTAACCTGGCGATCGTTTTGTCCCCCCCCCCCCCCCCCTTCACCGTTAATTCTGGGATCACCGACGTGCATCATAATCTAACAATAAATTCTTTTTCCAAATATTCTGCATAATTCGGGGAAACTTAGCCTGAAAATATTTTTTACATTCCCAAGTATTATCAGCTTCAAGATTAATTATTTCGAGATACGATTATGCCTTTTCTGAGATATAATTAGTCCCTTTATTATTATAATATAATACGTAATAATTTAATAATAGGTTATAATAATGATAATATTTTCACAATAATAAATTATTATATTAATAAAAGTTTATTACTTTATCAATTTAAGAAATTATTTCTTAGAATTTATTACTTTATGTTTTGTACATGTAAATGCACAAAATTAATTTTGCATTATGATAATTTTCGATGCCATTCGCGATTGGCTTTATAATTACGAGTTTACATATATTGCGCGATTAAACTAATAGTTTTTTTTAAAGGATCAATTGAACAGTCATATGGACTAATAATGAAGAGTAAATTCAGCCGATCGCACGCAGAAGTGCAGTTCAAAATCCATTATCATAATTTCATAAAACAGATAGGTGAATTGGATCAACCTCAAAAATAATTATTGTTTCATGAGATAAAGTCTTTCTTCAATATTTTATAAAAGTTTCTTTTTCTATTTTTCTATTTTATATTATATATCCACAATGTGAAATAAATTATTGCGAAGAAATTATCATTACTATTATTATTTAATCGTGAATATTAATTTATAATGATAATTTTTCGAAATAAGATTAAGCACTATGAGTATAGTATCGAATTAAAATTTTATCGCAATTATAATTCATTTCAAAGTAAGTACGAAGTAAGTAACTATACAAGAAACTATACAGGCGTTGAAAGGCGTGACATAAAATTATATAATAGGCTATTTTTATTTAGTATTTTTAAAGTTTTTAGAATAATGTAATATATAATTAAATAGGGATAGTTATAAAGGATCTTGTTTATAAAGATCTGAGATCAGCAGATATAATTTAAAGCTGTAATTTGAATCTAAAGAAAAATGGATCTTAAATTATACGGAGTAACACAATAACACGTAATTACGTTGTTCTTTAGACGATATCAATCCATATCGAACAGTTATGTGCAGAATATACTTTGCATATGTAACATACGATTTATTGCGTCAGGAACTAATCAATAATGAATACTACGATCAAAAAATATGATACATAATGATTGGAATAATAGTAAATAAGATATTCAATAGATTTACGAATAAAGCAAATAACGTAGCGGTCTGTTGATTAAAGTGTATCAATTTGGAAGGAACATATATATATCTCGCCTATGTGTCTGACATAATCTGTCTGGAAATTTCCAGATCGAAAGTTTCAAGGCTTCTTATAGGCAATCTTTTTCGGATCTTTTACAGAAACATATATATTTTATTCTCTAAGATTGTAACAGGATCATAACATATGAAGATTAATACATGACTTGACATTATAAAAAAATTAATAATTAATAATTTAATATAATTTCTATTAATAATAATAAAAAATAATAATAATTAATGATTTAATATATATATATATATATACATACACATACAAAAATACTTGTGTGTGTGTGCGTATAAATTTTTTTATTTATGTTTCTATCATTAATACTATTGAATGATTCTTTTTTTATAAACTTTACTCTTTATTTATTTCTATCTTCTTATCAATTTTATCATTAGTGTAGCCGATGAATTGGAAATATAAATTGTACACTTTAACGATTAAAATCCAGTGAGCATAATTATTCCTAGTAAATTTGTATTAAATTGCTAAAAGCCACCTTTTTTATTGCTCTATAAAATTAAAACTAGAGTTGCATTATTAATAAATAAAGTTCTTAAGAAATATAAAGAAATATCACGCATAGATAAATAATTATTAGCATTGGTTTTCCCCAGATTTTATAGTCGCAAACTTTTTTTTTATCGAACGAGAGAGAAGAACTTCCTTGTTTTTATCACAAACGTGGTCGCGCAAGTATTTATTAGAATAATACATCAGTTTTGCATTTTGCTGCAACATTATTAGTCAATTAGCTCACGAGCTCGTGCCAATGATGAAAGGAAGATTTCAAGATAACGAGACGTTCATTTTCCTATTGCATCGCAATCTTCCTATTGCCACAATGAATGCAATCAATAAAATTCTACATAAGTTAATGCTGGAAAAATTTACAGTTTTTAATACAGTTTTGTATTAATAAAATATACAATTTTATACTCGCAATATAAAGATTAGTTTCTATTTTAGAATTTAAATAATTTCTTTTATTTTAATTAATACTTTATCAGAAATATATTCTTTTATCTGTAATCAAAAGTTTGAGCCCACATCAAAGGAATCAATCAAATTGCACTTAAGAATTGCGATTAATTTTTTCTAACAATTCCAAATCTTTGCGTTACGATATATAACATTAAAAAAAATTTTATATTTTTTTTTGTTTTTGCTCTAGAAATTTTTAAAGAAATGCATTAACGTAATTATAAAAATGTTAAACAAACGATAAGAATCTTGCATTGGTAATACTACAATATTTTTTTACGACCGTTGTCTGCAAAGTTTGTTGAACCCGAGAGACAAGCGACAGAATTCAAGGTCTACGCTTACTTTCATGTTTCATCAAACATTGTCCTCGATTATTTAACGTGGTAAAACATAATTCTTAATTGCAATATTTAAAATATTTACATATTTTTTTTTTATTTCTCTCTTTCTGCAACAATTAATTAATTAATTTTATATCATATATATAATAATTTAATTATATATCTTTATTAATAAATTTTACATTTATATTGTAATCTTACCTGACTATGTACGAGATGCATACCTTTTATGCAATAATGGAAATTATATTTAGGATTTAACAATATATAGATGACGTCTCACTCTCTTGCTCTTTCTCATTTTTCTCTATTCTTGCTTAGATACTTGATTATTCACTTTTCTCTCATTATTTTTACGTAATATTTGCAAACCGCCTTACACATTCACGGTAAGGAAATTCCAACGCGTAGGCTCTTGGCTAGGTCAGTCTGAGCGTTTTCCTATGACGCATACTGATTCTTCGAGTATCCATTACGTCCGTTTCATGTACTCATTTATGAATGGCGAATATTTTCAAACATAGTTTTAAAGAAATGTGCATTCGTTATACAGTAGTTTTATATGACGTATATGCAATGAGACGATATAATAGTTAAGCTTTGTTTTTTTAATGTTATACTGGATGCGTTTGTGTATTATCATGATACGATCGTATCCGCAGGTCATTAAATCCTGAAAGGCTGCATATAAAAAGATTTAGATATGTCGTGTATGGAAAGATTATATAAATGTCATAAAAAATAATAATTATTATTTTAAAAGATATAAAAATATTATATATAAATAATTATGTAAATATCATTTAGAAAATCAATATATGTTACAGAATCAAATATGTCTTTTGTCATATATGTATACATGATTGGTTTAATTATATTTAACGAAAGTTAAATGCTGATCTCACTAATTCGAATAAAAGTCTTTTTGTGAACTTGTAAGTTTTAATGATATTAATAAATAAGAATATCTTAAAAAAAACTATTTTCACATAAATCAAACATCGGTATAGAATGGCAATAACGAGGCAAGCGCGGTATAAAGAGCGCAAACACTGTTTATTAATTAAAATAAATAGATTACACTAATCGCGGACGTTTCGGCCCTTTTTTTGGGGCCATCTTCAGTGCGGAAAAAAAACATCAAAATCTTAAATGGCTAAACGCAACTGCGACGACTGGTGGTGCATCCTGTGGATCTCTTACGCAACCGATGACATCCCATTTTTAAGGGCATCCATGTCCTTTCAAGTATAACTCCTCGAATTTCTTGGGTGGGAGATAGATATGACGGTACTTAATTTTATTTAATCTATAAGTAAGCGGAGCGGTATAAGGTGGATGACCGGAAGAACTATTGTAATAGTTGTGATGCTTACAAATTGCACAAGTCGACACTGACCAATCATAGATGTAACCGGAGAACCGAACTCTAACTGTCGGAGGAACAATTAGACAAATTATTATTTATGATACATTAAAACGGTACTTATGACATAATGTTGGTATAGCTAGGTTGTCAACAAGACGTTAATAAACAATAAAAAACATATATAAATAAATAAAACGATCTAGTGATAATGTAGAAAGGTTGTCGCAAACGGTAAAATTAAATAATAAAAATATAATAAAAGTCGAGAATAATAAAGCTAAATTGTTGATAGGGAACGAAGGTTGTCAAGAACGGTAACACACACACACACAATAAATAACTAAAAAACGCCATAAATATGAAACAGTAACAATCGGTAAACATCTCGAAAAATAAAATAAATAAATATTCTTAATTGTGTTAATACGGTAAAATATGAGCAATAAGTAAACGATATAACAAATAAATAAACCGATCTGGTATCCATGTCGAGAAAAAAGCTAATTGTTGATAAAAAGGTTGTCAAAATAAACTAAAAAACGCAGAACATGGATACCAGATCGGTTTATTTATTTGTTATATCGTTTACTTATTGTTCATATTTTACCGTATTGACATAATTAAGAATATTTATTTATTTCATTTTTCGAAATGTTTACCGATTGTCACTGTTTTATATTTATGACGTTTAGCCATTTAAGATTTTGTTTTTTTTTCGCGCTGGAGATGGCTCCAAAAAAAAGGCTGAAACGTCCGCGATTAGTGTAATCTATTTATTTTAATTAATAAACAGTGTTTGCGCTCTTTATACCGCGCTTGGCTCGTTATTGCCATTCTATACCGACATTTGATTTTAGTCATATGAGCCGTACATTCAGTTACGTTTTCATATAAATATTATGTATAATTTATAATTCTAGCTAAAGATTTTTTTTTATTATTGAAATATATAATATCAAATATTAAAGGACTTTTAGTCATCTTTACGCTTGCATTTAATTCATTACCTATAAATGTCGTAAGGTCAGCACGTATCATTTTATATCTACTCATTATATACTATTTATTGCCTAATTATCTACGTCAATGCATGCGCATGCATACATTGTATACATAGGCCAAACATCCTTATACTTTCACTATCGCAATAGGTGAAATCGAAAGGAAGCCAAGGAAGATAATTCATTTATCTTTTTCACTTTATCTTGTAGTAAGAAAATGTAATTTTATTCGTTGTCAACTGTTTAAAAAATATGCATATAAGATGTTTAAAAACTAACCGACTAAATTATATCACTCGATTATACTTGGATAAAGCGGTATAGCAAATAAATTTTAATATGTTTATACATTTTTGTGTGTATGGGAGGTGGAGAGGGGATATCAGATATTAAAATTATATAAATTGAAGAGACGAAAATTTATAATTTTATTCTCTCAGGTCGCGTTTTGCGTTAACGGGACGATATCTTATTGTGTAAAATAGAGAAAATACTTGAGACAAAAAATAACTAACAGCTTGTTTATATGTGTACGTGATTGTCGTACTGCTTGTATACATATACAGGGTGCGGCATTTATAGTGACGCGGGCATATTTTTCGGAAACGAAGTGAGATATCAAAAAATGTTTTAGACAAAAGTTGCATGGTTTCGAGGGGGCCACATGATAAAAATATGGATTTGACCTAAAGTGGTCTTTTTAAGGTGAGGTCAATGTGGTCGATGTTTTCTTAAATGGAACTCCCCATTTTTTATTACATATTCTTATAGCTTACCTCGAGAGCTTTGATGATAAGCTATAAGAATATGTAATAAAAAATGGGGAGTTTCGTTTAAGAAAACATCGACCACATTGATCTCACCTTGAAAAGACCACTTAAGGTCAAATCCATATTTTTATCATGTGGCCCCCTCGAAACCATGCAACTTTTGTCTGAAACATTTTTTGATATCTCACTTCGTTTCCGAAAAATATGCCCGCGTCACTATAAATGCCGCACCCTGTATATGTATATGTACAATATCTTACACATAAATTTGTTTAGCAACATATAAAGAATGTCGACAGTGGGAGGGGATTGTAAACATACGGCGTACGGACGCGTTATTGTTTTTGCTGCCGTATTGTTATCATTCGTACGACGAAGCTCGAGCAGGAAGGAAGCAGCGGCACGAGTCGCTCCCTGTCGTCGAATTATTTTTCGAAGAACGTAATTATTCCAAACAATTATTACAATTTGGCGATTAACATAAAATTTTATAAACATATACTATCTGTTAACAACAAAATCAAGTATAAAGATAATACAATTTTTCTTGCCGAGTATCGTAAAGAGAATCGTAGTTTCGTGATCGTAATGTTTTTTTAATATGAGTAACTCCACACATACTTATATGATATATCGCTAATACTCGCGATTGTTTTCTCACCTTGACCGAAAGAACATTGTCATGCAGATTGTATTCGCATGGTTCGGTTTCTCGCGCACCGATCTCCGATTATCTTGAACGGTTGCGACAATGTGCGTATTAGATGGATGTTTTTACGTGTTACGCAACATGGATTGATTGATCATTTGATTGCGTCAAGTGGCGAGAACAATAGCCCGTCTATTCAGTCAGGCATAACCCCGTTTTACCATCTTAATCTGTCACATCCGCGGCAACCTTACCCTTTATTATGCGACGCGGGCTTCCACGTGTCGGAAGTTTCATTCTGTTTTGTTGCGCGATTGATAATCTTGAGGAAAGGCGAAGGCCGATTTTCGCGAACGCGTATCGTGCATCGCGCGTTATTGTCGAATAATTGCATGATAAAAGACAATAAAGCTTTAGTCTGTGATTTATAACACACAATACATGGTAGTATGCTACATTTATTTAACGATTAAAATAATATACACAAGTGAAAATTATAAAATACTAAAATACTAATTATAAAAAATAATTTATTATTGAGAGATAAGGTTATCATACGCTTTCATACTTGAAAGTTATACATATGTCGTTGATTATCTAAACATACATCGTAATTAACTTCATTATTTTATGAGAAATAGTAGTAATATATAATATTATCTAATTTATAATTACTGGATCATATAAATAATACCAAATAATAATATCAAAATTTTTAACTATCAAGAAGTCTAAATTATACATATAACTATATATATATATAAGATTTTATGTTATGGCACAAATAAAGATTTTAGCAGTAATATATAATACCATCTAATTTATGATTACTACTGGATAATATAAATAATACCAAAAACGGTATCAAATATCGAGAGATATTTATCGAGATAATATGATTGAGAAACTTGTTGAAGAAATATAATAACTATATACATTAATAACTACTTTTGCTTCGTATTGTTATTTTAAAGCAGATTTCTATCTTTTATTCAGAACGTTTGCTTCATCTAATTTTTATATGGTTCATTAGTTTCGATGCTCTCAAGTTAAACGCTTTTCTCGGATACGGTACTCCTTCCGCTGCCCGTCCTTTGCGGCATACGCGATGTTCGCTGGTTGCGGGTAGTTATGGTCGTAGGTAACTCCCTGTCGCTTCCCATTCTCCTCAGGCTGGTGTCTCTATCCGAATAATCTTTACTCTTAGAACATCTCGGTCCGTTTATGTTCGCGTAGACAATGTAGACCGCGAAGATTCCCACCAGGAACATCGCTATTCCCACGCCGCTTACCGTGTACACCTGTAGCGAAAATGAGCTTATGTTGTATTTCTGATGTTTCGGCTTTCCGTCTAAATCCCTCTAAAGAAGCACTTTCCGAGAGAGAGGTTTTCAAATAATTTTCAATTTTTCGCGTAACACTGATTTTTGTCACGAAACAGAAAAAAGAAGAATATCACATCGATCAACTTTTATTACACTCATGAATGTTTATTTTTAAGAAAATTATGGTGCTTTAAGAGCGAGAAGGAAAATTTTTTGCAAATTTTTTCTATATATGATCTGTCACAAAAATAATGAGATTGATGTACAGTCCTTTTTGAGACTGTATAGCGTTTTAAGGGGACTAGGCAATAATATTTGTCGAAAATGAAGTCTTTTTGGGGAAATATATTACAAAAAAATGAATTAAAATCGAGAATTGTCCTTTAATAAAATGTTTATTAGGATCATAAACTATAAAAAAAAATTTTGCAGGTCGGTTTGAGCTTCTGTATTTAAATTATCACTGCAAAACTTATTTAAAAATCCTTTTCGATCAGTCATCTGCAGTGCCATTTTTAATACATATTCTTAACTAAAAAAAAAATTTTTTATAGTTTTTGATCCTAATAAACATTTTGTTAAAGGACAATTTTCGATTTTAATTCATTGTTTTGTAATAAATTCTCCAAAAAAGACTTCATTTTCGACAAATACTATTGCCTAGTCCCCTTAAAAAGGCATCAGTTTCATCACTTGTGTAACCTCTCTCTCTCGTAGAACGAGGCATCACCATTGTCCACCACTCGTTATCGTCCATTCCCGAAACTAAGATTGTCTCGCTATCCTTCTCGTGTAGCTTCTTGATCTCCTTGACGGTCGTGGCGCATTCTGTTAACGGTTCATTCTCTCGATTCAGGAATCCCCTGAACGTATATGGCATGTCCTCGTCGTCGCTCTCTGACGTTGCATGGCTTTTTTCGTTTTCTTCCACATAGCTTTTCTCCTTTTCGTCCCATTTGCCATCACCCCAATAAACTTTCGCCCTATTCTGGCGAATGATCACGCTACCTAGGCGCTTTAGATTACTTGTGCTCGTCTTTACAGACAGATCGAGAGATCTCGATGCTTTCTGCGATTCCGTGTTGTGTGTCAATAACATATTCGATACCATGTGATTCCAATCCAGAGGGTTTATTTGATTCTTACATTTCCTGTTTTTGCTATAAAATAAACGTATTTTGATGGATTATATTTTGCATCGTAAATCATGATCTAATAAATTACATATATTATACACATATCTAATAAAGTTCTATTATGTATCTTAAGAAAAATTTTATTTTATCAATTTTATCAATATTAAGCTAATTTATAATTGTTTTTGTTCTTTTCTAAATTAAAAAAAAATGGGTTATTCTAAAATTAAAATTAATTATTAACTGAGCAATACACAGGGTGTCCCCAATTTAAATGTCAAAACTTCAGGAGCGTGTAGGGGACCGATAAAAAAAGACAAAAAGTCCTTTAGAGATTTGCTCGTTTTTGCTTCGTTTTGAAGAAAATCGCAAAAAATGAAACAATTAAGTTTCACCAAAAAACTTAAAACAACACTAAAATTATTAGATTTATCAAAAAGTATTATAAAATAAAAATTGTAGAACGTGGAATTAAGAAAAGAGAGTGAGTTAAAATTTGCCTGAGGTAAAATTAGATTAGAAACAAAATTTCGCGTTGTCGCGTATTTATCTACAATCCTCTAATTTTACCTCAGGCAAATTTTAACTCACTCTCTTTTCTTAATTCCACGTTCTACAATTTTTATTTTATAATACTTTTTGATAAATCTAATAATTTTAGTGTTGTTTTAAGTTTTTTGGTGAAAATTATTTCTTTCATTTTTTGCGATTTTCTTCAAAACGAAGCAAAAACGAGCAAATCCCTAAAGGACTTTTTGTCTTAGTTTATCGATCCCCTACACGCTCCTAAAGTTTTGACATTTAAATTAGGGACACCCTGACAAAAAATAGTGTAGTTTCAAAAAAATCGGAGGGTTCACCTATTCGGAACTCCACCCTAATTAATATTCTACGCTCGCGGAGTAGCTTGTTTTATCTTATCTTTTCGGTCGCAGTAATCGTGTAATATTCAAATAGTAGTACATAATTGTCGATTGGAATATTTTGTTACGTGATAAAATATATTGCAAATGCAACGTCTATGCATATCATTACATTAGATTCATATAAAAATATAGGAAAAAACATAAATGATATTGAAAACGAGTATTTTAAATACATTACATGTTTTAAATCGATGTTTTTATACTTTTCACATACGTAGCATACGCGTGATATGTACTGATATGGTAATTAAGTCTGTAGCTATTTTATCTTACTTTTTTTCTAGAAATAGAACAGAGAAGAAAAATAACAGAGAGAATATGCAGTTATCTTTTTTATCCTGTTATTAGGATTAATAATCAAGCATTTAATTATGTATTGCATCTAGCAACCGTGTAACAGTGGAATGTCTCTTTTCGTCGCGTGCTTATATTTACATAGATTAACCAATTTTTTAAAATTAGTTTCTTAATTATTGTGAAAATCGCAAAACGGTAGAAAACTTTTTTACTCGGTTTAACTCGCTCTGCTTGTATACGAGAGGTGATACGGTTATTATAGAACATTCTGTATACCCCATATATATCTTGTTTCAATAGTATATAAATAATGTACTTGTTTATTTAATAAAACGTTTTTTTATTATATTGAAAATATTAAATAATATATTAAAAAAGAATAGAAAATTAATATTAAATTTTTCTTGATAAGAAATTAGAAGTAATAGCAAAAAATATGAAAATATTGAATCATATTTACAAAGAAAGAATAATGGCTGTTTTTAAACGGTACAAATATCTGTTGAATTGAAAAAGAAAAATTCCCAATTAATATAATTGAAGAATTTTAACAATACCTTTTGATAATAGAAACATTGCTAGTATAAATCTATAGCCATAAATGGATTTTACTTTGAAAGAGATAAACATTTATAATTTTGATAAATGAAAGAATTATGTACATTCAAATGGTTTCTCAGTATATCTAATCATAAATAATTTTAGTTATAAACTTGTCAGATACATACATCTTCGCGTATTTATCGCATTCTTTATAAAACGGCGTCATATATGATAGCTAGATTTCTCTGCGTTGATTTAAGGATGACCTCGGCGCGACTGCTGTTCCGGAGAATGAAACGGTAAAATGCTGGGAAAAAAGCAAGGGTACCGGCAATTTTACCGCGAGTTACCGAAGATCCTTAACCTCAATTGAGTTTGACATATTTGACGGAAGTAGAAATCGTACTTTCAGACAAATATATTTATACATGACATCTCTCTCTCTCTCTCTCTCTCTCTTAGACGCGTTATCGGCACACGACGCACAATGACACGATTGATATAAAATTACTGTATCACGTAAATCTATAATTGGGTCAAATGCTACTAATGGTCATAGGACAATAAAACCACTAATAATGTTAAGGAAAATACGCGTGTTTTTATTGAGGGACTTCCGCAACGCTTTTGCTAATAATAAATTATTACGACACACTGGATGTAAAAAACGTAAAAATCAAATTTCATCAATTATACATAATGATCGCTTTAGATCACAATCGCGTTAAAATCTATTTTAATTTATGAAGGATAATCTTCTATACTCTATTATTTGTCTCTATGTAATCGCAATTGATGATTCGCGTGCATGCCGTATATAATACTTCATTAAGTCGCAGTTTGTGATTAATAATGAAGCGGTATTAGCGCGAATAGCAGAGCGATGCACTTCTATCACATGTTTATGCATATTTGAAGCTGTTTAAACGTTATTATGTGTGTGAAGTTTATTATAGATATAGATAATTACAGATATAATTGAGCCCACAATTATATAGCTTTATTCATTTATATATATGAAATTTTCTATTTAAACTTGAAAAGTAGAGCAAAAATATTTATCTATTCTACGAAAATTTGCCATATTTACCTATATGTTAACACATTTTACGTAATTATGTTAAAAAGTTTATTTATTTTTAATGAAGTATTTAAATTTTTTAATATTATAATAATTACAGATTTAATTGTAATATTATAACGGATTAATATTTAATTATCAAAACATAATATGTTTAAATAACTTAAATAAATTAAATTATTTGATTTAATTAAACTGGCTAATAAGCATTGAGAATTTATATAACAGATAAAAAGAAATCTATTTATCTATTTGCATTTTTAATCTTTAAGTATAGTAATTGTTTTAATTATTTAAGCGAAATACGTACATCTCACTTGGAAATTCTTTCTATCTGTTCTTAAAAAAATACAGATATTTTATTAATGAAAATCTATTTTTTTCAAAAATTAATTAAGCAGAGCAATGAATATAATTTAATGTAAATAAATTTTGTTGTGAAACTTTTTAATAGTTACCTAGAATCTTCCAAAAGCAGTATAGTGTTAGTTGATTTTATGGAATTCAAGTAATCTTTCAGATTTCCGTCGCTGATAATTAGTATAGTTGCGTTGGTAGACTCATTGAAAAACTTCTTTCTTGGTTTTCCAATATGTACGATGTGAGAAGTATAATCTATAACATCAAAATTGATATACACATTTAGAATACTATTTTAAAAAATGCGAGGAAAATATCGAATTTAGAATAAATCAGAGAAAACAGAGAGAAAATTCAAAATATTTAAAAAATAATTTTTTTAGCAGATTTTATTTTAATAAATTTGTAATTTAAAATTTGGCAACTAACAATAAGACGTGTGTTATATAAAAAATTTTTTAAATTGTGGAATATGGTATTCGTCAAATTTTCGTGATAAGGGGAATATAATCTGTATAAATTACATTAGTATAATATCACACACAAGCTTAACAAAATCTATAATATTCTATATAAATCTAATATTTTTGAATATATATATGAGCTTTTGCTCTGTTTTAACAATTATTATATACAGAAAATATCACGATATCTGTAATAGAATTTGCATTGTCATGATTGCGTTATTATATCTTATGCAACACTTTGGCGGATAAATCTTCATAATTCTGATTCGAACTCTAAATTTAGAAGTTATTACAGCCTTGACATTTATATCTTAGAACCTATTTTAAATTTTTGTTACATAAATATGCTATTAAAACATATCTCAGAATTCTCTGTAAAAAAAAAGTTAAAACGTTATTTCATACCTTCCTCGTCGTTATCATGAACTATGACGCACAAATTCTTGGCAATAGAATTTATTGTTAGTTTTTTTGCAATATTTTGTACGTCATCGTCGTTTTCGTCATTAACGTTAGCTACTAATGTGAAGGACTTCCACTTTAAGATTTCTATCATTCTCAAGACTCCCTACAAAAAATAAGAGTTTCACGTTTTAATCATTTATTCATTAACATAAAATTGTTTGAATATGGCTGGGATAAATTTTTTATTTTATTTACTTGGAATCTATTTGTATAATAAACTTAAATAAATAATAATTTAAATGAATGGAATTTAATATGTTTAGTAATTTAAATAAATGAAATTTCATCAACTGGTAATATTTTTAGAGATTGTAACAATCATTATTTTTAACTAGATTTTTTCTCTTAATTTATGTCACGCTTTTCGTGCCTTATTTTGCAATTTATTTGTATTTAATAATGTATTAATTTGTCAACTATAATTATTATGCCGATTAAGAATTATTGCAGTTACTAGCTAATTTGAAACGTATTATTTATATCTGCCAAAAAATATTACCAATAGACAAGTAATATTTATATAAAACTATGATTAGCAGAAAATAGCGAATACGGATTATGAATACAAGCATTTTAATATTGAAATAAATTTATGATAGGATTTATGTTTGAATAAGAATTGCAATAAATACGTGTACGTACTCTTTGTATGTGTGCATCATTAAGTGCACTTTACTATGGCAATAAAAAACTTAATAGCTATTTGTGGATAAATGCCGACATTTTCAGCAATCAACTTATTCTATTTATATTCAATCGAGCTAACGATTCAGTACTGTGTGATTTTACAATGTTTTATATTTATTTCCACAACTTGCAACTTATGATATAAAAAAAGTTCTATAAATCGTTATTAGATTATTTAATTAATTTATTAATATATTTATTTTAATGCAAATATATTTAAATAGAGAAATGTAGAGAAATCTGTCTATATGTGTATATATTTAAAAAAAAATTATTTTATAAGCATATTTTTTTTAAATATAGTAAAAATAAAGCAAGTTGTGAAAAGGAAATAATTAAATGCTATATCATAATTAATCTTATTAATCTTAATATCGATGTAAGTTATTAGATATTATTTCGATATTATTCTTAAATGCTTGCGTAACGATTCATGTTATTATCGCATTATGCAAAGATTATGATAAGCTTAGCATTACAACCGGAGGAAAAATGGACTTATATGATTACATAAGATCATATATGGCTATATATGATCTTATGTCTATTTTTTCTCGGGAAATTAACTGCTTTGATTGTAAGTAACGATTTCCATCTTTGGTTTGTAGAACGAAGTTTTAAGGCTAAGCAACAATGTTGCGAATAGTCATTGAGAATAATCTTCAATCAATAAAAAACACCTGTATTAGATAGGAATTTGATTCCTCCGTCAAATGATGTAAATATGGAGAAATCGATGGTTTCCGGACGATATGCGACACTTTTAATATCGAAGTCACTTTGTGTACTGCTTCAGCATTTGTCATAGAATCCGGTCCGATAATACCTAAATAATTACCAGACATATATAAGTCAATTCATACAAGGTTACTTAAGTATTTTTTCTAAGGAAAACAAGCTTTATGTGTATAATATATATATTCTTTCGTTCATATTATATTATATATTATATTTTTTATTAATATTTTATTTTTGTTATAAAAAGAATTATATTTTATAAAAATTAATTTACAAAAAAGGTTAACAAGTTGATTATTTATTACTAGCTTTCGATGAATAAATTAGTGTCGAATATACTGTTGAGGAGACCCTTACCTAGATAATGAGGTGGGTGCAAACAGTTGACATTCGCCCATACGAGAGCCTTCATCACCGCTTTCAAAGCGCCCGTTATACTTCCGCAAGTATCGAAAACAGTAATTCCTACAAATAGTTTGTTTCGCGATTAATTTTTTTTGTTTAACAGTATTCTATTCCTATTTTTGTATTATTATCAATGACTGATTAATCGAGTATTTGTCTCTAATTAACTGATACTCGGACGCGCGTTTATTTGAAGCGTTCGATCGGAATCGAATTATTTCAATTTTTACCGATTTTGTATCCATCGGTTTTATTATTGTGAATCTCAGCGATAAGCTTGGCGGCCTCGTAGAGTAAAACGCCTTTCGTCGATAGCTTCGTGCACGATGCATCGTTGTGCACGCTCGTTAGAAGCGAAATTTGTGCGGATTCACCGCATTCCGTGCGTACACCGCAAGTGCACGCAGCCGCTATCACGAAGATTACGCACCAAATTCGTGAGAAGTTCATGTTTTGATTAGATAAATCGATATTCGATCGATTTTTCTCCGAATTTTTCAAAATTAAAAAGGGAAAGCGTAAATGCTTTCTCCCTCTTTTTTGTGTAACTTCTTATTGTAATATAATACGGATATTAAATGATCAAAATGTTTCACCGCATACTGTATGATTTACTGTCGCGAAATAATTACGAAATTTCTTCTTCGGTTAACTATAACAGTCAATATAATTAAACACGAAAATAATAAATTCACAAGTTTTACATTCTCTCTTCGTTTTTAATTATATATTCGAGATATAATTAAGTTTTTGTGTAGTTTTACTTGTTAATCGTCTGAATGATTATATAATGCCATTATTAATTGTGTAATAAAAATGTGAAATGCAAATGAAAATTATTTTGTCGAACAAAATTTACAAATTTAATTAAGTTTCATGTATACAAAATACACTACTGTAATACACAATGATGTCCGTTTTAAAACGTATAAACAGTATAGTATCACGATGTCACGTCTCTTGCGACAGATTTCACTAAACTACCTGTCTCAAGTGCAAACCTTGATATTGAATTCCGGAAGCTTTATATAAGCTAACCGCATATATTTCGCGAATTTCTAAGGTTTTAAACACGGCCTCGAATGATAGAAGTTCTCAAAATCTATCCTTTGAAAAAACCAAGAAATACTACAAATAGAATTTATTTGGGGGAAGGGGGGGGGGATTTTATATAGGAAATATAATAAAAAACTATTTAGTTGATAAAATATTTATATTAAATTGGCATATTGTATATATACACAATACAAGATATTCCACATAATTTATTACTTTTATCTTTTTTTATTTTCTAGAACAATAGACATTGTCGATGAATATAGGGTGTTTAATAAACGCTATAATACAATTGAAGAAATGTAAAAAAGAAACGTAAAAAAAACGATATTCAAAAATTTAAAAATTAATAAATATTATATATTTCTATTTATTTCTCTACAAAAAATTTATTTTCTTGCCGATTGTATTATAATTTATTAAACTATATAATAATAATTCTTTCTTCTTCAACTAATTCAATGTGAGAACCTCTCTTTCTTAATTCAAATATAATCTCGTTAACACAGTCAGTTAGCTAAGAGGAATCCCTTATTTAATCCTTCTTACATCATTCGCTCTTGCGTAACTGTGTTAGATGATTGAAGTATATTAAAGACATTACATAAAAACATATATATTTTAATATAACATTTTACATTAACATTTATTATATTCTTTATTTTTAGAATAAAACGCATTTCTTGCAAAAAGTTAGAAAATCAATTTTTATTTTCGTATCGCATGAGACATTATGTTGATAAAAAGAAACACATATACACAAATAATAGAGTTCAGATTTCAACACAGTATATCATTCATCGATGAACCAGCATCAAGATAACATCGTGAATATATTAGTTTTAACAGCGAAGAAAATTTTCTTTTTAATTTTAAAAAATATAAAAACGTTTCTCTCGTTCTCTCTCTCTCTCTCTCTCCTTTTTACTTATAACGAGAAATAAAAAACAATAGAGAGTAAAAAGGAGAGAAAGAGAGAGAGAGAGAGAGAGAGAGGAATGTTTTTTATATTTTTAAAAATTAAAAGATAGTTTTCTTTACACGGTTTCATTGTAGGAATTTTTTCATATAATAATATTGATAATATTGATAACATAGATGGCGATATAAATCAATAAGACAACGTATTGTGATGAGTGAAGAAAATTCTATTAATCCTAATGAGCAATGCGAGGTGGCACCACTGATCGTACAACACACACAATTGATGAAAAAATTATTTGATATACAATAAAATTACATATAATGGTATATCGATGAATATATTAATAATTAATAAATATATATAAGAGTAATTTGTCGAATAATTGCCAGCAATTAAATAATTTTGATTGCCTGTGAAAACAGTGTGCGTTATAAAAATTAAAAAATTTTATATGTATAATCTCTGCAGTTAATTATTATAGTTTTTAAGATAATTGATAATAATAAAATAATTGATGAACAGATGTTTTATCTATAGAGCCTTATACCTTAATTTTAATTTAAATAAAATAATTATTTCTGTATTTTTATATCTTTGAATTTTACAAGTTTCTCAATACAAATATATATTATAAATATATTAGCATACAGTATGTTCTATTATATATGAAATCTCTTTCACATTAATGATATTCTTACAAAATAATTTATCGGCAAATTGACATCGATCTAACAATTTAAAAAAACCAACTTAACGAATGTTTGTTTTGCGAGGAAATAATTCGGGCAATCCTTTGACCGTAGACGGTAAGGGCAGGCAAAACATATCCACGTAGGCGGCCCATACATAAAGTAGGCATGTGCATTGCGATCGAGCTGTAATTCTCTCAACCGGGCATATGCAAACGGTTCGCGAATCAATCTCCGCACTTCAAAAAGATAAATAAGAAAAAGCGCGAAAGGATATATTTGCACCATGCCCGGCCATTACTTACGTTGGCGCAAGACCAACAATAACAGTGACGGACTTTTAAAAGCTAGAGACGCCCGCGAGACTTCTCGTATCTCAAACATCCTCACACACAGTCGTGGTTAGATGGGTGCAGACGCACTTTGCCATCTTCACCCATCTTTATCCGAGCGTCGAAAGATAAATCCTTGGACAGGTCCTCCCTCGTCTAGTACCTTTATGCTGGACTTTGTAAAATGTATGCGAGTACATAGGAGAAAAAAGGGCATGATAGAAGATACGATGAAAAATTTACTCATCTTGCTCGTGTTTTCCAGCAAACTCCATTGTACTCTCATGTTACGTTTGAGTTTAAGAGGGTTTATTTTAGCAGCATGTGCCAATATTATTACGTCAAAATCATTGTTGGGTCAAGTGGTGTAACTGAGACTCGAATAACGTAAACTGGGTCAATGCGGTGATTTTTAGTGATAAGATTAAAAATTATCTTTTTCAATTATTTTCTCGACGGCTGTTGAATGAATATTTGTTGTTCTTATAATTTTGTAATCATTAATAATCTCTTGTCATCGGAAAATCATTATATATATATTGCCATATTTATCTAATGATTTCAATTATTTCATTTTGTTTTACATATATTTTAAATTCATTGTCGAATTGAATACCAAAGTACATTTATTACATTATTCTCATATATATTTTACTGATGGAAATATAGCTAAATTGGATACATTTTCTAAATTGACTTATTCTGATTGACTTGCAAATACGTGAAATTTACGCAGAATACATTACGCGCGATAAGGTGATATATTATTTTCATAATTAATCACATATAGACAAATATGCACATATATATAATATATTTTTTTAATTAATTTAATTTTTTCTGGATGGCACACTTCTTTAATAATGTCGTTTTTTCTCCCGACGAATAAAAACACAAATAAAAAAAATTATATATATATATATATAATATAAAAGAAATAAAATTTAATCAATTTTTGGATAATAACATTGTCACATATCAAGAATTTTTGATCTAGGAAATAATAGTCCCAGTTTTCTCTTCAAGAATATGAATTATTTTGTCGTGATTCTTATTTGGTAAAAATTTTCTTGCATAAACATCTCCTGTCAAGTCATCGTCAAGTCATTGCTATAATCTTTCTTTTTAGTCATCATTACGAATGATATTTTATTCAATCGCGAGATATCGGTGACGTCGGTAAATTATAGTTACTACTTATAGCTTTGGTTCGTTCAATGTTTATCTATCTTATGCCATGTGTTTTAAGACGCGTTAGAAATCGTCGGATGCCGCAGGACGGATTCGGGACACATACATAAATTGTTATAAAATTAACGGAAAATAGTATTATAAAGAACTGAATCTTAATTTAAAAATAATTATTATATATTTACATTGGATAGATATATATAAAAAAAATTGCAATAATTTTTAAATTGATAATTTTCTTAAGAATATAAAATTTTCGTTAAAGAAAAATTATCTTCAAATTTTATAAAGGACAATATAATTTTTCGATTAATTCTATTAATTAAATTTAATTAATTAATTATTATTTAAAAGTCTTAATATTAAAGATATTTATATACATATATAGGATTATACATAATAGAGTATGATTCTAGGATGAGAACCACGGCGGGACAGATAGATGCGAAATCATCCATCGCGATTTATATTGTAAATTTCCGTTTTCTCTTTGCACGTATATAAAGATTAATGTCAGTAACGCTTCTGCGAGATTTCAGGTTTCATCCGTGACACACTGGCGAATGCCCGCGAGAGTTTATCTGTAATCGACCGGAAATGCGAGAACTGGCCTAGATTTTGTAATGCGAACTTTCGAGGAAAAAGAAGCAAGTGCTTTGGCTATCAGTAGCTTTACTAGGGATCTAGGAGATTCTAGATGTAATAAAACACTTAGACATTAAATTTAATAGGTTAAATGAATCTTTTACAACAGAAACTTCATATTTGCACATTCCTTATTGAATAAGAATGAAGTTCAGAAGTTATATATATTAACTTTAGATATTAAAAAGAACTTTAAATATTATATTCAAGATTTCAAATTTAAATAAAGTGCATCATAAAGTGGATCTTGTAGGAATATATTTTATTTTTGCTCTCTAAACTATCTTGCTTTAATCATAGAATAAGCTTTATGATTAAGCGTTACAACATCAAACGAAATCAATGGCTAGACCGTTTAATTACATTCGCTGTCATTTATTATAACTGTTGCGTCAACATTTTCTTTCGCTCGGCATAATCAGGTCGCTTTGCGAGTTCACTTTGTTGTCTTTTCTTTAGCCGTCAGCGCATTCTAATCTTACATATATGCGGATGGAAAAATTTTCGAGTCGTTTAGCAAGAACGATGAGTCCTCTCAGCCGTGGAAGCGCATGAGATCGGAGTGTTGCATGCACGTGACCCAATATGGAGAAATTGAGTCTCTCTCTCTCTGTTATACACCTACGTATTATTCAGCGACCATTCAAGTGGCAATGCTAAGATTGATTGACTAAGCGATCGGCATAAATAGAATACTGTATTCTTCGCGAATAAACGTGCGCTCATTCATATCTCCGATCTCATGGACAAGTATGCCATTACATATGGATGCAAAATATTATAAAGATCAATGCATATTGCCGTTTACTCAATGAGATAATATTAAACATAATGATTGACGTATGATGCTGTGCACTAACCATTTAGCCTCAAATGTCGCATCCAACATGAACTGAAACATTCGTGATAAAAGCAAATGAAATTTTTAATGGATTGCTATTCGAAAGCTTTTCACTATTAATTTACATTATTATTTTATATCGATTAATGCTAACTAAATAATAAATCACTATATCATCATGATTGCAATGCAATTTCATCTTGTTTGTTGGTAATTCAAAAAAAAATTTCTTTTGTATATTGCAGGGTAGTTGTAACAACCAAGCTTCATTCACAAACAAGCGAGATGCAAAATGATGACAGATGGTCTTGTTGAAATGTTCCCACGTTTAACCAGTCAAGTACAGATACATACTCATCGATTGTAAGTACATCATCGATATATGCGTAGCTCAGGCATCTATATAAAAAAAATTTCAATAACCACTAGAATAAAACTAAAAAATGACAGCTCGAAATTAAGAGATAATTTTTCTCACAATTTTTTTATCTTTAGAGATTGATGCGAATCGCATCGACCTCTAGTCTAAGAAACGTTTTTCTAGTATCTCTGCGACATTTGAAACAATCGCGCGAAACTATTTGGGAAACGTGGAGATTTATAAAACCCACGTGTATACACGTGGCGGGGGCGAACTCGCCAAGTACTGGCAAATTTCTTCCTGAATTTGGCATCGTTGATTGTAACCTAGTTTAGGTACGACGTCATTGATGTCTTTCTGTACTGACGTATCGATGAATAAAATCTGCTAACGTTGGTGTGACAGCTTATGATGCATGACACCACGACACAGATTAAATTTTAGATCGTGGATGTAACGTTACATCAGCAACAAAGATGTAATATGATGAACTCTGATGCATAAGACCAAACCAACATTGTGATTATTTTAATCCATTAAAAATTATAATTATAACTGGTGCAATATTGCATATGAAATATGTCGGTTTTATATCACTAATATTCAAATAAATTTTCGAGAAAATATAATAAATATATGTAATTATGAAGAAATGTTTGTATAAATATTTTTAGAGAAAAGAATAATTTTATAATCTCATTTTGATTGAATGTGTAGTTTAAAGATAGAAAAAAAAGTTAAAAATCTAAACAAAGTTTTTAGCTTTACACACATTTTGATTAGATATTAAATTTCATTAAAATCTATTTCTCTCGTGTATCAAGACGATTATTCACTGTATGTAGAAATTATATCAAATTCTCTAGCTACTCAATATCTGTAACATTGGAAGAGATGTGAAATGATGCGATTCATAGAATCTATATACGAAAATATCGGAGGTGAGTTATGCGTCAATATTTTAATGGCATAACATATTGCTGTCATAACATATTGCTGCTGCATCGACAATATGCTATGCGATCAATGTTCGATCTGCATCGATATGCATCGTTCAATCCTCAGCTAATCGCAAGTTCGACAATATTGGTTCATACATGTGTGTGTATGTTTGGAAAAGGTAGATTTGCAAGAACCGAATAGATTGAATGCGAAGCTGGCGTATGCATTAAATTGTAAAAGCAAATGATCGAAAAGAATTGATTTAAACAATTTAGGCATTGAATAGATTTACTGCAGCTAAACCAATTATTTACAATGATTACTTGCATAAAATATACAATTTTATATATAAATGCATCGACAGAATTTACGTAAAAAAGAATTATAAAAGTAATAAATAATATGATAAAAGATGGCGGAAATAACAAATTTTTATAGTTTTACAAATTTGTTAAGATTTATAAATATCTTTTTCAGGGTAATTTATAAATTTTTGTGAGAGTTAAATGTGTTTTTTGAATAACATAATAGATAATAGAAAATCTCTTATAAAATATATAAATAATATAATAGAAGATGGTAGAGGGGGATATATGACAAATTTTTATAGTTATTTTATATCAATTTTGTAAAATTTATATATATATAATTTATTAATTTTATAAATTTTCGATGTAATTTCAAAAAATCACATTTTTATCACTCGCGCAGTTTTCTTATGCTAAGAAGCAAAATATCACTATAGTTCTCTCTCATGAATCGATTATTGAACCGTGAAAGAGAACTCGAGATTATGTTCTAAAACGGGTTTTATATGAGTTTCTCCTAGCTGAATCATGGTTACATATATACATAACGTCATAGTAAGACATACGTCAAGTATCAATTGGCTTTCAAGAGCCATCGATTGCATATTACATTTAAATATTAATTTTAGCTAAAATTTCTCAGTAAAACGCAATTATAAATATGAATCTTAGTAATTGCTAAGATTATAGATCTATTATGTTTATTTTGTACGAGGATACTATTCTAAAGCGAAAAATGATTAGTCTATTAATTAGAGGGAAAATTGGAATCAAAAAAAGAAAAAAGAAGGGAACTCTCTATATATTATTTTATGTTTTATTATTTCCGTTAAATTAATCAGAAATAAAATAAATGGGATATTATTTGTATATAGGATATTTCAGAACTATTGCAGTTTTTTTTTAGTTATAAACCTTTCCCCTTCAATTTTTTATTTTAAGAAAATAATAATCAATTCTTTATTAATAAAAAATTTGACAAATAAATTTTTTTATGGAAGAGATTAAAAGAAAATTTCTAAAATATCTGATGTATATATACAAACACATTCAACAGTGCAATATTATACGTGCTGTCATCTTGCATATTGCCATTGCTATATGGTTGCATTATTTGTTAAAATAAATCTAGAAATTTTAAAATTGAGAGAATTTGAACTAATGCGTATCGACTATTCATCATTAATGTAAGATATAAATCAGTTTTAATAACATTGCTTTACATCGTCAAAGCAAGGAGCACGTTAATGTCTCAAGCCGATTATAATACAAATAAAAAGAATCGACGAGAAAAGCAAATGGAATGCGCTTGGTTTCCTAATAAGTATTTATTGCCGCTTTTTTCATACTTTAAGCGTTATTAGCCCTATAAAAGGTTTAATATAAAAAACAGAAAGGTAGAAATAAGAGGGAAAAGAAAAAATAAAGAACTATTTTATAAAATTTAATCCGCCATAAAATCCGTTATTATTAATACTATATTTAAACAACAATATTATATTTTCTTTATATTATTTTTGTATATGTAAAGAATATAAATATAAAAATTTTGAACATTTAAAAAATACTAAAATAAGTTTTTAATAATTTTATTCAAGAATAATAATTCCATTATTAAATTGTGCGTTACTAATGTTTATGATTAGATAACCAAAAATGTGACCATGCATATGTCGTAGTCAATATTCTCGCTTTTTAGGTTTATCAGGGTCACTTAATGTATACACTGGATATCATAAGTAAAACGAGGCACGTACTCTTTTCTCTTATCGGTGATACATTCGAGTACAATGCCCTTTCTCTTTCTATAAAACGACAAAGTGTAATGACCGAACGCATGTCAGCAAATAATTGTGATAAAATAATAAAACATCACACTAATTAAGGTGATTACTTTGATCCATTGATATTTCAAAGCAGAGAGAAAATCTGAATTATTAATTACGCCAAAAAGGTTCAATAGCAGGTTTAATGTAGAGTATTAAATGTAATGTGTTCAGTGATCTTCTCATTTAAACAGATAATATTGTAACTTTTCGGTTTTAATTAGATTATATAATAAGCTTTGTAATAAAATAATACATATATATAATTATATAAAAATGCCTGTTAATGTTGCAAACTTACGAGAGTGAAATTATTATTATAAAATAAACTGTTTTTAAACTATAAATATTATATTTTAAGAGTATACAATTAAATTAAATTATATTTATATGTTTAAGAAGGATGACAAAATTAATTAATTGCGGAAATGTGATCGGGATGAAAAAAATATTATAATAGAGGAAAGAGAATGCGCATGCTCTCTATGAAAGGGAGGTGCGTTCGAGAGTTTATGGCGGGTTGAGTTCCGTGTTCCATTCAGTTTACCGGCACTATTTGCCCGCCACAGTTCGGGTTTCTCTTAGGCACGTGTAACAGACAGGTGACAAAAAGGTGACGGGAAGTGGGTGCATCACGTGGCCGCGATATTGGTCAGACCGATATTTTTGTCAGTTATCAGTGCGCGTTGCGCACAACAGAAGGCACGGAAAAGTGTGCTATCAAAAAATATATTTTGAGCCATCTGCAAAGGGACAAACAATCGAACAATAAAAAGATTTTTAAGATATTGTATTATGCGATGTTTAATAACGTGAACCGCGCGCTTAAGTTTAAGAATTTCTGATCATGGATTCGTTTGCGACAAAATTGAGAATGACTATTCGATACGATGCAATCGGTACTACGTTGATGCAATTGATTAAATAAATCGAAATAAATCAAATTTAATTTGAGTGCACTCTCGACCAAATTAAATTCTGTCGAGACAAAATCGAAAACGGATTATTGATTAGCGAAAGATTGAATTGTCGTTAATTCATTAAAATCAAATCGATCGTGGTCGCGAAGTTTCGCAATTATAAGAAAATGCGAGGAAACTTGATCGTTTACATCTGTGTAAATAAAATCTTGTTTAATTAGCCAGCAATTTATATATATTAAACTTGATTCTACAGAGAAGGAATTATGGAAACGATTGTCTTGTCAATTTCAAACAAAGTCGTTGTAAACTATCTTGTTAATTTCGACACTTTTATATCAGATGGAGAGATTCGACCAGCAAAATTTTTGCTAAATAATATGAAATAAATTTTGTCTATTAAAGAAATGACGCGTGGAATGCACGATCGAATGGCATGTGATTGAAAGAGCGTTTTCTTGGTTTTGGATGTTTACGTGATAATGGCACATCTGCTAACGTCAAAATATGCGAATCTTTCTATTTGAAATTGGATGGCAACTATTCCGAGCGTGCTTCAAACTTTCAATGATTCTTCTCGCAAACTCGTGAGTCGCTACTCTTGGCATTGCTATAGACGCGTTCTTACTTTTGCCTTGCCAATTCATCGAAAATTCATTGTAAGAAATTGCACGGAGTATTGAGAATAGAATTCTATGGCACATCGTAAATTTTCCATCAAGGTAATGAAAAGAGAACAAGCGCGACATGTCGGCTTATTAAATAGATTGACACATATATTTTTTCTTATTAAATTTTTATATGAATAAATTTCTTCTGGATTAAAGATATATAATATTATTTATACAATATTATTTATTATTTTTATTATTATTCTATACAATATTATTTATTTTGCGCGATCAATTTACATATAAATCCGTTAAATGTGAAAGCCACAAAACTATGTTAAAAGATAACAAGAAAGTTAATGTAGGGCAAGAAAGTAAAAATATCCAGGTTCCCAGATCTAGTCGAGGATCATAGAAAATAAACATTTGTTCGGAGCTTTTCGCAAATTGACGTTCTTGACTATCCGAGCTATTCGATCGAGGTTAAACGCAAATCCCCTTTTAAATGACGAAGCCAATCAGGATGTGTCGCGAAACGAAACTATCTCTCGCAATCTCTTTGAGAGCTCTTCCCGCATCGAGGAATAATTAATAATGAATGTAGCGAGAGACGAGAGACTTTATGATGTCACTTAACGTTTTCGATTCGACTAAAGTGATAGTTACCTTAAAATTACTCGCGAAAACGGCGAGCAAGATTGGCGACGCCAAACATCGTGTGCCCTCGCACCCCCCAATGCGATCCCTAATGGATTTTCTCGAGCATTTCGACACTCGGCGATTCGTCGAAATTCTGACCGCGAGAGTCGTCGTGGCATCACGGCCGAAAGTACTGCCGACGTAAAATTGAAATTCCTCCTACGATAAACGCAAGAGGGAGACGGACGTGACGAGCGCTTTTCTGGGCGATCCGTTCTTGCATGTAAGGCCTGTAAATATGTAACTTAATCGGGGAAGCGCGGCGAACCGCCGGGAAGTGGAAGTACGTGATAGCGTAAACTTACTCGAGTGTACACGGGATACGTGATCGCGAGGGGATTTAGTAGCAGCAGCTGGCTTGAAAAGTGGAAAAGGACGCGGCTGTGGCGGACGAGAAGGTAGAGGAAAGGTGACGTCACATTTTCACCTCGCGCTTATACATACGAGAAAAAAAGAGAAAAATTTCCAACGATGCCTACCGTCGCATTTGAATTGAATTCGTCCTATTACACGACGGCGATTGGCAACAGTGCGCTCGATGGATTCTCAGGTAATCTCGAGACTACGATGCTTTGATAAAATGACGCTATGTTAATTACGAATTCCCGGGATGTCCGCGTTAAATGTGCCTAGAGAGATCTCAAGTATTTCGCGTAATTTCAGTAATCGAGCCGGAGAACGCCACTTCCGCGCTGTACATGCTGCCAGCCTACATCCGAACGACTTCGATGGTAACCTGCATTATCGTGATGGTACTGGGTATAATAGGCAACCTGATGGTAATTTTGAACTTTTTAAATCCATATTAGAACGACAGAGAAGTTACCAATCGCATCCATAATAATCATTCGCCGCGAATTCCTTATATTAGGTCTACCGGAAAGTTCTGTCCGTTTTTGGAATAAAACAAAATACAAATTTTTATTACCGTCAATAAACTTTATTAAATAATGTAATTGCCATTATTCGGAGAAGTATTGTCAGCAACTGGATAATTTAAATACAGCAGTCCAAGAAAAGAGGCCGCCGATGTTCAATAGGAAGAACATCATACCGCATCATGATAATGCCAGGCCACATGCTGCTTTGGATACTCGTCAAAAAATTGCAGAACTAGGCTGGAAAATTCTGTCGCATCCACCATATTCCCCGGACTTAGCACCCTCCGACTATCACTTGTTTTTGTCCTTACAAAATTTTTTGAGGGGCAAAAAATTCAAAAATGAAGAAGATATCAAACAAGCACTGGTTCAATTTTTCGCATCAAAAGATAAAACATTTTTCGAAAAAGGGATATACAAATTGCCCTCACGCTGGCAAGAAATCATTAATAATAATGGCAATTACATTATTTAATAAAGTTTATTGACGGTAATAAAAATTTGTATTTTGTTTTATTCCAAAAACGGACAGAACTTTCCGGTAGACCTGATATATTGTCCTATCGCTATCAATGTAACCAATCTCTTTGTCCGGAACCGCTGTAGCTCCCCGGGTGTGTAATATCCTCAGGTGCCGTTAGTCGTCCTGCGGGGTAAGGACATGAGGAACAGCACGAACATCTTCCTGGTGAACCTGAGCGTCGCCGATCTCTGCGTCCTCGTGATCTGCACGCCTACTGTGCTGATCGAGGTCAATTCCGGACCGCAAATTTGGCCCCTTGGCAGGCACATGTGTAAGTCCGAATTAACGCGAAAGCATGACGCGCTTTGATGTATTCCTATCCCCCCCTCCACCGAACCATCGACACGACGTGATGATCTGTCGGTCGGTTAAATCCAAAAATACTGGAGGCCACGTATTTCCTCGACGATGTATGTACATATATGTGTACGTTTTAATAGGTTTGCTTTATGCCTTTCCATCTCGTGAATCCACGCCGCGGTTCGTTAACAAACACGCATGTTTCTATTGCATCACGAGGACTCGAATATTCGCGGGATTGCTGACGCTCGCCGGGATTTCCATCCGCGATCGCATGTTAATACTGGGTGCTTTCCATTTAGTGACTCAAGTCGACACAGAGTATCATTTTATCTTTGTTGTTCACTGGTATTGAAAGAAGATAGAATGATACTCTGTGTCGCACTGTGTCGTTAATGGAAAGCACCCATCGTGTTTATAGAGAGATAATTTTTTTTATATTACTATACCACACATGCCTAAGGAGCTAAAAACAATCTGTTAAAAATATATATATTTAAATATAATTATAATAAATAAATAAAATAAATAAACATAGTAAAAAAGCTTTAATTTTACATAAAGTAAAATTTAATTTATCGGACAACTATTTTTTTTCTTGGGAAATACTCTCTAGCTGCTTATGCAACTATTATTCATTGAATTACTAGACGACAAATTATGTTTATACGAATTTTTATTTCATTTTTGTTTTAGATCATATTATATACATTTGATAATGTGAATATGCATATATTAATTTTATGACATTATATATATTATTTGATAGTGAATATGCATATATTAATATGATAAGTTGACGTGATAACTCATATATTAATTATTAAAATAACCATGTTATGGTTATTTTAATTATTATCTTCTAATTAATTTTTAATTGAAAAAAGCATGGAAGTTGCATTGGTATTGATATTTCACGATACGAAGAAATTTTGTTATTTAAATTTGTTGACATTGCCGCGTTGACTTTATCGGCAAGCCTATATCATTTACGAAGTAGAAAAAATGTACGATCCTTTTAGTCGCAGTCATGCAATTCGAACGTTAATATCGTTGGAATCTATCCAAGAGAGAACTGGTTCGCGTTAATTTGTCTCATAGCGCGACAGAACGGTTGACAAGGGCTTTTATCCAGAGTGCACGGCAATGTCATTCGACGCATCGCGAAAGTACTGTGAATTCTTCGAATTTATAGAAGGTATCTGATTCCGCTTCACGATTATTGAATCGTTGAAAAAAAAAGAAGAAATTCGCGACTCATCTCCCGCATTGTCATAAAGTACAGATCGATTTATCGGTGCGCGCTCACAGATATGCGATTAAATTGCAAACTCGCCAGATTGACATTAAATCTAATCCGATCTTATTCCACTCGTCTTGCAAATTGATCATATCACTCACTTGAAATAACGCTGCGCGATTTTTGACGAGGGCGATAGGAATTGTTTTAGCATACGAAATATTCCATTGAAATATTATTACTTTGATAATCGATAATCGATAGTTAATATTCAAATTTTCTATTTTTTTTTAGATAATCATTTATCGTTAAATATTTATTACATTAAGATATATAATTTTTATTTATTTTTTACATTAACAGTGGGATATAATTTATATTTTTTCTGTATACAAAATGTGGAAAGTGATAAAATTTTCTATGCTAATTTTAATATATATAATAACTCATGTATTTTTAAAATGTAAAACAAATAATTTCGTATTTTATATAATTATCTTTTTTTCTTTATTTTATTATATATAATCTATATTTATTATTAAGCTATATTTGATAAAATAATCAATCTAACTAGTTAGAGGAAATCAAATTATTTTTGGAAAATCGATATTAGTAATATGTGAAATGGATTGATCTTGTTAGTGTCTTTTATCTATGTCATATATCTTATCTATGTCATATATTTTATCTATATTATATATTTTATCTTTTAATCTATGTTCATACATACATATATAGGAAGAGATTCGGAAATTCTGAACAGCAGACGGATAATGGCACTCTACTCAAACTTTTACGAGCTTAGGATGAAGGCGCGGAAAAATCCGAGAGAAAAATGCCATCGACAAAAATAATTTTGTTCTTGCCTGCACTTTACTGTGTGCAAGTAATCGCGAACAAATGTGAAATATCGTGCACATATACCGTTCAGAATCTTAAACGATGCAGTACTGCTAATTAAATTTGTATTCTTTATAACGCGCGTTTTAAGCTGTTACTACTCCCTTGCTGTGTTAATTAAAATAGTTACAATTTTTGGTACTGGTTTATTACTAAAAATATTAGCAGTATTATAATATAATCGGATTATAGTATAAATTAAAGTAGCACTAAAAAAGTTTAATGTGGATCTTAATAAAGAGTAGTAATTTATTAATAATTAAATTATAAAACTTAATATCTGAGATTGAAGGTGAAAATATTTTTTTGATATTTATAATAACATTTTCTATCTTTCTAAACTTTTTACATTTAATCGAAAAAATAAAATTATAGATATAAGTTTTCTGAAATACGCGAGATATAAAAACTTTTGATAAATTATAAAATAGACAATAAACTGATGTTCCATACAATACTTCTCATTTTTATTTATTTAAAATTACTGTTGCTATTAATGTTTCTCTTATTATTATTAAGAGACCACTGCAATTTATTATTTTTTTCGTTCATGATAATGATATTATAGTGACCCGATTGCAAGTCTCTTGTTAATTTCAATATTGCTTTTTTTATGAAGCAATCATTAAAAATATTTTAGGAAGTAAAAAACTTTCTTATTTTTTTTTTATTATTTTCATCACTGAGATTAATCACTGAGAATGAGATAAAAGAAAAAAACTGGAGAATATATTTTTAACTTACTATCTATAAAACATAATGTTTCTCGCAAGAAAATCGTTATACACTTAAATATTATATCATTTTTTGATGATTGTCAAGGGACTTTACATAAAAGAACTCTAATTTCGAATACAATTAATTTACCAATTTTTATTATTAATTTTTGTACAAACGACACATTTTATTTACATGTCGAATAACTCTCACGTTCGCCACCAACGAACGAATATCGAGATATCCGCGCTCGTAAACCGTTGGTACCATATGGCGTTGCAGGGGCGAAAGATTCTTCCGGCTTACAATTCCTTACGAGCCACTTCCTATATATCGATTCTCCGATCCCTCTCGCTCATACGGAGGATGAGTGTAAGAAAGAGTAAGTTGCCTTGGTGGTGAAGCCGAGGTTGAATCAACCAGTGAGTAGCGAGAACGTCGTGAGGGATTTTGTATGGATTATATGAGATGCGTTTACCGTGAAGGGTCGCGCAACGGTGGTCCAGATGGGGTGCGGTTCAAAGAGGGATTTAGGCGCGTCTGGGTTTTATGAGGCGCATACGGCGTTTGCCTCTCCCTTTCTCCGAGACATCTCGAGGCATACCTTCCTTCGCCCGACATTCCTTCAGAGAGATGCTGCCTGATCTCACGGTCGAGGCCATACAGCGTTTATTGCGATGTAAAATATCTTACGGCATTATGATCACACAGAGCAAGGGGTACTTTATTTTAAAAATGAAAAGTTTCCTTACACACTCTTGTTCCAGCTCGAAGTGATAAATCAGTCTGGCTGGCTCGCGATTTAAATTCTTCGATGTTCAACTCTTTCAGATCCAGTGATTCCGTTTGGAATCATTAAAAATTTCGGCATTATGAATTTATTATGAGTATAGCGACTTTGTGTAGATTTGCTTCGACTTTTGCCAGCGAATTTATTTATTTATTCTTTTATTAATATCCGTTTGTGTGCATGACTTTAATACCAGTTAGATAAACTGAGAATTCGCAATTATATGATATTAGAAAACATTAATGTTTGACAAAAGCTCCAAAAATATTAATTTTTTAATTATTTGTAGCTTTTACATTTGTAGAGTTTATGTCTTTGATGTCTAGTAAACAGAACGTTTAATTGCATTCACGTGTTAAGTTTTTGTTTTACACCGGTATTTACAAATATAATGCAGTAGATTGACGGTATAAATTAAGCATGAAAATATCTTGATCACGAATAAAATAATACAAATTTTTGAACACGTCATATGCTTTAAAAATATTTGATATTTTCCCACCCAATTCCCACATGCATTATTCAAATTAAATTAAAATAATTTAATAATGCATAATATCAATTGAATAATGTTTTAATCTGCATAATATCAATTGAAGCTTATTAACAGTTTTAAATAAAATCACTAATTGTTAATTGTTATAATAATTACTTATCTAATTGCTTATCATTAAATGTCTGCATATATAACTGCATATATATAACAAAGACTCTTGTCCTATGACGTGTGAAAATTTCCTTTATTCTTCAGACATTGACTAATGACCGGTACTGAATTGTAAATTATCGAACTTCCGTTCCTACCGTTTTCTAATGAGCATAATAATGACAAGGAAATACGATACGATTCATTTAGTAATAGATGGAAAAGGCGCTGTGACTTATAAAAGCTTTGTTTCACATCGGCAAACGTTGAAACGTGTCAATGTTGGAACAACTTGTCGAAGTACGATATATAAGCAATTCCTCTCTTTTATGAAATAAAATGTCACTGTAGTGTCAACGAATTTATCGGGTTATAACTATCGATGTGAAACTTGCGAAACAAGATACGTGTCATAATTTTGACATGTTCTATCACTAGGATTGAAAGAGAAGTAGAAAAGCTATAAAATTTTATAAAAATACGTATATAAATTGCTTATCAAAAAATTTTTAATTCGATTGAAAGTTTTCTGTTTAACTAGAAAAGTTTTGTATATATTCTTATATCAACAAATTTTAAACATAAAGTCAAATTTTGCTTCGAAATATATGAATCATTGAACGAAATTATAGTAAAAGTTAATAAAAATAAAAGTTTGATTTTTCAAATTTAATATCA